TAGAACTTAATTAGTTTTAAAATAACTATTATCCTTTATTAATAAATTTTAAAAATGTCTTCTAGCTAATAAATACGGTTAGAAACCGGTTTCCTTTTTATTTGGTGGTAAATTTATGGAATTAAATCCTACGGGAAACAACTAATCCATTCGAATAAAGAAGATATAAAGGGCTTTAACAGACGAGTTAGTTGTTTGGTTTTTCCCATTAAAAATATTCTTGAATTCTTGAAATGACATAAGACGTTTAATCATAGAAACATTTTTTGAAAGACTGTCTAATCAAGATCAAAGGTATCATTATGCTATTGCCACAGAGAGGGGGAGATATGGTACTTTAACGTCCACCTTACAAAATTACGTTACGTAGAGGTCATGCGATTGTTTCCTGAAGGATTTTGTTATCTCTTTTATTTTGGGGGAATTTGGGTGGCCCGGCTGTAGCTGGCTCACATTTTCCGCATTAACATCCACAGATATATTGATTGGACAGTGTTGAAATGTAGTTAATACGTTTTTGTTCCAGAGTCCAAATTTCGGATTGGACAAAAACCCGAGGTCACGTGTATACCATTGGCAGCTCGTTAAAGATCACCTGACAGTTAGAAATCAAAATAAAAGTAGACCTCAGCGCCGGTGTCGAGGCAAAATTTTCCGCATACCATACTGCACGATATTCCCTGCTTTATTAACCTGATTGGTGCAGAAAAGTAAGACGTTAAACCTCATTTCATTTCAGGGTCCATTGCAGTCATAATGGAGTGTAATGTAAAGTTAAAAAAAAAAACCAAAAAAAAACAAGAACACTGAAACAAACTTTTGTTCATTTTCAAGTCGACCTGCCCTACTTGTCTTTTACGTCTATTTAAATAACGAGATGTTTCTTTCCACGAGACGACATTCGATACCCAAGCACAGCTATTCCGCACGTTCTCCTGTCTTAAATTCAACTCTATAATTGTTTATATGTAAATTAAATATTGCCTTTTCATTGACCCGTAAACACAGTCTTAAAACTGCATATATTTTAATCCTCCAAGTTTTTGTTATTTCAATCTCATTTAAAATAGTTTTAAAGCAAATGACCTTCGTATATTAACCTTTTATATTCAGCCCACCAATGGTTATTAAATTATGATAATGGGAATTATGTATACAGTGTATATACGAAATAATACACAGTAATGAATGACTTAAAGATAGGGGGGCGGGGTTTAATTTAACGTCAACATCAGTACGTAACTTAGGGACTAACATAATTATGATGTACGTACAATGTATATATAATACACAGAGATGGGGTTTAATAATGCAGATAATTATATACATGGCTTATACGAAATAATAATTCAGAAATAAATGACTCGAAGAGAGGAAAAATGCAGTTTAAAGTAAAATCAACACAATCTAAGTTATTTTGGGACTAACATATGGTAAGGTACATTTTTATTGCAAAACTTCGCTTGCGCGTAGTTTTGTTTTAATGACAGGAAACTAGGGGACCGAAAAAAACAAAGGCTAGGCTAGTCGTTCGGACGTAACCGAAAAACGAGGCCCACTCGTAAAAATAACCCCTGGCAAGCGGACTCGGAAGAAGTGCACACGGAAACTCCTCTTCTCCAATCAACAGTGTTTCACAGAGGTATTGCAAAAGCCGTCTGATAACCCTGTATAAGATAACTGATCTTTATAAATTTCACATGCATTCTACATATGACGTCACATCACAAGGCGTCGATCATTGGCTCGATGACGCGTGCATTGTTTACATAACGTAAACTGGTCCGAGCAGAATGGTGCCTTTTACTCATTTTATATACTCATTTACACTAAATAGGTAATATATTTTATTCAGATATACTTCAAACACCTTTATTTCTTTTTCTAATGCTTAAAAAATTGTTATAGAATTTAATTTGCAGAAGAAAAAAAATTAATATTGTGAGCTAAGTAAGCCGCACCGATGTCATCCCTATCAGTGATATTCTCGCGGCCAAGCGAATATTCACTGCTGATCAATCATCAGTGTGCCTCTGCCATAGCGAAATTGTAATATAACATGGCCTGCATGGCACACGCGGTCATAGAAAAACTAATCGTATGTTACTCTCAGATAACTAAAGTAGTGTCATGGCAAGACGTTAAACACCATTTCATTCCAACTGAACGCTAACGTCGGGTTGGTGAACTGGGAATTATGATCTGCCGTCTGATATGAATGAATGGAAATGGGTTAAACGTTCCACTTTTCTACTCCGACCGGAGTTGGGAGGTTCGGCAATTTCCGGAGTCCACAATGGTCAATTTATATAAATGACTATTTTGAGAAATACTAACCCTAACCCTAACCCGTTTTAGAGGGTAAAAGGTAAATTTGGACCCAGTAAGTTAAGTCTTCTAATTAGGGTAAATGTTAGGGTTAGTATTCCCCTAAATACTCATTTATATAAAGCGGCCATTGTGGACTCCGGAAATTCTCGAACCTGATCCGCAACCGGCCTATAATTAGCATCTCCCGTCTTCACTAGCCCGGTCGGAGTAGGAAAGTGGGACGTTTAACCCAATTCCATTCATTCCTATCAGGGGGAGCCACAGTGGCTAGGTGGTTAAGACGCTGGCTCGCTAGCCTGGAAGTCGGGTGTTCGATCCCTGCATTGGCCTTGTCAGTGGTGCAGAACGGAGGGCCTGACAAGGACAGCTGTCTAGTCCTTCGGATGAGACGAAAAACCGAGGTTCCGTTGATACATTGGAATGCACGTAAAAGATCCTTTGGCACTGTATGGCGTATGCCCGTCTTCATTAGCCCAGTATAGGAGCAGAACAGTAGGACGTTAAACCCCATTTCATTTCATTCATATCAGACTGCAGATCATAATTCCCAGTTCCCAACCGGCCTACAATTAGCATCTCCCATGAAGACGCGAAGTCTGAAATGAAATGAAATGAAATGGGGTTTAACGTTCTACTGTTCTATTCCGACCGGGATAATGAAGACATGAAGTCTGATATGAAACCATGTGTTGATGTATGCATTTCCGTTTCGACTTACGACTTGCCTGGGGCTGTCGCATGGATGATGTCATGGCAGTCGCCCCTCCTTAAATAATAATAATTCTTCGATAAAGTTAAAGCGAGACAAAGCAAGGGTTTGATTTAAAAGTAAATTTGACTGACTTCGAGTGTTGTCACTATCTTATTGAAGAAATTGATTTTGGAAAAACTTCAAGCGAAATTTCAAATTGGGCTCTAGTGTTAACTCGAATCGCCTCAGGAATCTTACCACAGTAATGCTAATTCGCGCTTTTCTTGTCAGAGGATAAGCGATCGTAGGCTTTATAGCATACAGTCTCGTCAAAAGATTTAAAGATTCTCGCCACTTCTATAACTATTTCAAGTACAGGCGTCATTGTTTTTGTTAGAAGGACAAAAATTCATGTTTCGAATTACTACACACACCGGTCTTAATCCATCCATGTAGATTTATTTATGGAAGCAGAGACAATAGTACTTGTACTTAACAGATGCATACTGGGGAGGAGGGGGTGAGGTGGGGGTCGATTAAAGCCTTTAGGGGTCGCCCGGCGCTATTCTAGCCATACTTATAAAAAAACCCATTCAAACAAGTAGAGAGAGAGTCGCGGTGGTTGGTGACTAACATGCTGGCTCACTAACCAAGAGTTCTCGGGTTCGCTCCCAGAGAAAGTTCCTCGGGGTTTTCCTGCGTGGTTTCCTTTTGTCAGTGGTGTAAGAACGGATGGCCTGAGTAGGAACACAGTCTAGTCGTTTGGATGGGACGAGAAACGGAGGTCACGTGTACATATTGACGTGCACGTAAAAGAACCCTTGACAGTTTGAATTTGAAATAAGAGTAGGTCGTAATGCCGCTGTCCGGGCAAAATTCATATGCCCGTCTGCATTTATCCAGTTGGCGCAGAAAAGTTAAACACCATTTCATTTTAAAAAAAAATAGAAAATAATTCATAGACATTCTGGAAATTTTATGGAACAAAAAAAATAAATTGTTTTTCTTTTGGTCGTTATACGGTGTGCCCGTTTTTGTTTTTTGGATTTAAAGCCGCAATGCTATAATAGGCTTATTTTTATTTCCATATTGAAATTTTACAAAAATAATGGCCGAATGGTGTTCTTTAGAAAGTAATCTAGACAATTAGATAAAAAAAAATCCTATATAAGTTAGATACCATCTTTACCGCGATGTTCATGGATGGATACGAGTTATTTTTGTCACAGCTGACAGAAACAGTGATATCATGAATGCAAAGTACGGTAAGTAAATGGAACCTTAGTTGGTCATACCAAACGTTAGGACTATGCGAGTTTAATAATATTAGGCGACAGACAACATATGGGGTTTAACGCCCACTCGACACAAACTAGGTCATTTTGGGATTAACATAGGGTTTAATATTCTCGTTGAGCTAATATAGTATTCCACCCACGGGTTTAATGATGTTCAAAACTATAAGAGTTACCGCCCTTATCTGTTGAATTTAGAACCCACATCTCGAGATGTGTGTGAGTGTGTGTGTGTGTGTATGGGGGGGGGGGGGGTAATGTCAACTCGGCACACATTAGGTCATTTCGGACTAACATATGGCTAAATTTGATTTCAATAATTCACTTATGCGAAGGAGTCTTTAGCATGCGTAGGAAACCGGAGTCTCCGGTTGGAAGGCGACCCTACGCCTTGTCACGTACAAGCAGAGAATCGAAACCATACCACTTAACTCATTGACAGACCAAATGATCCAACTCGCACGCGTTAAACCATTCGGCCACCCGATCCCCCGAGCCCACAGCTATAATCTGTGTCGACCATCAAGACATACATAACGTGACAGTGCGGGGGGGGGGGGGGGTGTTTGTCATAAAAATGTTGGTCTAAATTTTCAAATAAAAGTTACAGAAATTTCAATACTTGTTTAATACAAATAAAAAACAAATTATAATAAATTATTATAGTAAGTTATTAACAACATTCAGTTCGAATAAAACCAGTTTGGTTGTTTTGGTTTTGCACACAAGCCGTCTAACAAGTACGATATCTGTCGCAGCATTTCCGTAGAAGAGTCTAAACGAGTACCATATTGTGATAATTGTTCTAGCAAACTGATATCACCATCACCAATATTAGCAAAGTAGAGCTCTATACCCATATCTTCCGCCATTTGAACATTCTCCAAAATGGGCGCAGAATCGTGCACTTTTCCGCCAAAGAATAGGACGCCCACTTTACGGCTTCCGGATCGGCCACCATTTTGGAAATCATATCCCGAATCAGCCATTTGGTAAATTAGTCTTGGCAGTTTTGTGGTTTCGAATATTTCCAAGTGGGATTCAATATCCGCCGAATTGTTGTATTGTTTTAAGTTGAAACCAGCATCTAAAGGACATGATCCACTAATGGCACCAACCTGCATATACTTCATGTGCTCAGTTTTAACCGATTCTTTGATGAATTTGGTTACCCATAGGGTACGCTCTAGACCTAATGCTGCTGGATCAAAAACAAAATAAACATCAGCTGGATCTTTAATACCACACGCTATAAAAAAAAAAAAAAAAAAATAAACATTTAATTTAGAAGTAGTCTTGATATAATTTATGCAAAATTGAAAAAAAAAAAACCAACCACAAAACAATACAAAAGCAAACATTTAATTTGGTATTAGTCCAGATATCAAAACTGAGTTGCGCTTCTAAGATAGAACACGAATAGGCTTGGCAAGGGACAACATATAGGTATATGGAAGGGACGAAAATCCGATGGCCCGTTTGCACATTGGCGTGCACGTAAAAGGACCATTAACAGTTGAAATTTGATATAAGAGTGGAATTAAAATAACTTACGCTGATCTTCTGGTGGTGGTAAAGGTGGTGATGTAGGTTCTAAAAAGGAAAATAAAGGAATAATTGGGGGGAAAGAGGGGTAAAAAAAAAGAATAAAAGCAAGAAAAAAGAATATGACACAACAAGAATAAAAGAAAGAACAAAGAATATGATAAATTTGTATGACAGCCTAAATGCAAACCGTTTTGAATCCCAGTTACAATAATTCGGTTAAGAAAATAAAAAAAACAACAAGGCGCATCAGTAAAGCGTATTTGTTGTAGAGGAAAAACGATACTCACCTACGGGTGTACAAGTCTTCATGGCTAGTCTCCCTTTAATGTTCTCTAGTTCAGAATACCTGTTCACATAGAACACCCCTTCTTCGTCACCAGCAATGCTAACTAGTTCATCATGACTAACTTGATCGCTGACTCCTACTGAAAAGACTTCCATCTCTTGACGAGCTCTGGCTGCCTCTTCAGCTGTCGTCTCTGGTTCCTGTGAGTTGCCATCGGTAATAACCACAGTTACTCGTCTAACATCTGGTCTCGCTTCTGACATTATGCTCGTCCTCATGTAACTTATAGCAAGCCCTACAATGAAATGAAATGAAATGGGGTTTAACGTCCTACTGTTCTGCTCCGATGCTGGGCTAATGAAGACGGGCATACGCCATACAGTGTGCTATGAGGGAAATTTGGCCCGGGCAGCGGCACTATCGCCTACTCGTATATCTAATTCCATCTGCCAAGGGATCTTTTACGTGCATTCCAATGTATACACGGGACCTCGGTTTTTCGTATCATTCGAAGGACTAGACAGCTGTCCTTGTCAGGCCCTCCGTCCTGCATCACTGACAAGGGGGAACCACGCCGGAAAATCTGGATGAACTTTCTCGACCAATGCAGGGATCGAACACCCGACCTCCAGGCTAGTGAGCCAGCGTCTTACCCACTTAGCCACGTGATCCCCCCTACAATGAAGATCGGGTTATGAAATCAGGGTCTAGGCCAGTCTAGCTACATCTAATAATTTTAACTAAATTAAAGATAATGTGCAAATCAAATAATGATGTGTATCTCTAACCATACGTGGCCCAGTGAGTAAGGTGATGGCTTACTTGCCAGGAGGCCCCAAGTTCGAGACCAATGTTGGCCAAGTCTAGTCGTTTGGAATTCGACGAACCTTAGACTGGCTTATTTACCAGGAGGTCCCAGGTTCTACACCGATGTTGGTCGATAAAGTTGCAGGACGGAGGAACTGAGTCTAGTGCACGTAAAAGAATCCTTGACAGATGGAATTCGGCGAAGCGTAGGTAGAAAGTATGGCGTATGATTGTCTTCATTAGTCAGGTTGGCGCAGAAAAGTACAACGTTTCATTTCTCTGAACGACCGAAAAATATTTTCTCAGAATAACATTGTTCGGCGGTGTTCTATCCTCCTACCTTCCTAATGTCTATGGTTTGGGACTTTTGTGGAATATAGCGCTGCTGGAACCGCAAAATATAGGAATTCATAAAATTACGTAACATAATGCTCCATGAAAATAGATATTACGATGAGGTTATGTTTTAAAGAACAGTAAAACTTGTATATACAGTTGAAGTTTCCCGACGAATTTGGGGCTTCTGTTGTCAAATATTTTGTAAATAATCAGTTTTGTTATGTCTCCAGTAAAGTTTGCAGTTTTAAACATTCTAGGTTTAGCGGTACTAGTGGAGTTTAGAACCTGGTTCCATATGATCTAATAGTAAAGTGAAATGATATAAGATGGGGATAACGCCCTACTTTTTTTAACCGAGTGGAGAGAGAGAGAGAAATGGGGTTTAACGTCCACTCGCCACAAACTAGGTCATTTCGGGACTAACATATGGTTTAATTTTATTTACATAATTCGCTTGCGCGTAGGGGTCTTTAGCAGTGGGAGGAAACCGGAGGCCCCGGAGAAAACCCACGAGCCGAGTGGGCTAATGAAGACGGGTCAATAGTAAAGGACGCCCATTTATCAGTTCATACCCGATCCAACCACATATTTATTGTGCTTGGGGTCTATGAATAAATATTGCCAGAAAATCTTGAAATGTTACTGTATCACTAAAAATGTAAACGACATCTAACCTGTATCAGTTTGTGACCCAGCTCTCCATGGCAGACGACTGATGGCTGTCTGTAAACTAGTCAGATCATTATACTGTGATAATCTGATAACATCCTGGGTATAAACACCCAGACCATATGTCACTACCCCAATACGAACCTTCTCCGGTCCAATCTCATACTGGTCCACAAAATCAGCCACAAAATTCCTAGCCTTAGTGAAATTTTGAAACCAGATACTCGACGAGGCATCTAATATAAAGGTCAGTTCTAACGGTCTTTGGCTACATACTGAAAAAAAAATATTCCGATGAAAATGGCGATCAGTTACAGATTCATTACGGTATGTAAGATTTTGAGAAAGAGCTGACAGTTATCGCTATGGTAGCTTTTAAGAATATTGAAAAATGAATAATATATTGAAAATTTCAATCAAATTACTTCATTCTAGGCGATGTTATGGCATCTTTATAATAAAGTTTAATAATCAAGGGTTTATATGCAAAGAACCCCCCCCCCCCCCCAAGACCCCCCCCCCCAGGATAAACATGAGAGAGAGAGAGAGAGAGAGAGAGAGAGAGAGAGAGGTTTAACGTCCACTCGACACAGACTAGGCCAGACTAACATAAGGTTCAATTTTATTTCAATAATTCGCTTGCAGATAGGTGTAAGCTTATATTTACCTTCGTCAACATTGTACAGCACCGGCACTTCGGACATTCTTGCTGAAATAAAAATGGTATACGATTTGTTCGCCATTGTGGTATATATAATGAAATGAGATTCAAGCCTTGTCAAACAAAGGATATCGGTTTTTCGTTTCATCAAAATGACAAGAACACACCCTGCGAACTTCTAGAGGCTCTTCTTGGAGCATGCGAGGAAACTATGATGGTTTCGGTCAAATTATATATTATTCTGCGGCAAATGAAATTAATGGGCACTGCAGAACAAGTACGCAAATGGAACTTGTTATAGATGGTGTTTTCAACCCCAAAGATAAAACACCACCCAGTCGTGTCACTGGGCGACTTGTAGAGTAAAATTTTTAAAGGCTAATCCCAATAATATTTTGGAGAATAAAACTGCTTACTTTTGTGTTAAAATCCCTTAATATTCTCTACCTTAGGGACGAGCAACCAACTCAATATATGTGAAACGTTTTCAAACAACTTAAACCCGTCAGTCTTAATCTGGAAATGGAGGCCAGTGTTCCAAGCTGTATTATGCGGTGTCTGGATAAAAGTAGACTTTTATTTTATAAAAATAATGTGTAGGTGCACTATACCTTTCGTTATCAAGTACAGCACACAGGTCATTCACTGTATAGACCTCTAAAGGAACGGGAATCGATTATCAGGTCACCCAACGAAAATATTGACCCGAAATCTTAAAAGGGTTACGTGTCCGGATAAGCAGTTTAGACGTTCACGTCCAAACAACTGAATATTTTGAGCTGAAATTTTGATACAGGGTAAATACACCATTCCTCTATATTTTGGCGCTTAATTTTCATACGTACTCGGACTTTTATTTTTGAGACTCTGTTCAAATCGGGATAGTCCCTTTAATGTTTGGAACATTTCTTCTGATCACGCCACTCAGGTGACTGGTTGGTCTAACTCCTGCTCTTTAGATCACGAGATCTGGCAAGTGGTGTGTTTCCATCCCAAGCTTGTACGAGTCGTCTAACATCGTGGGTTATCTCCGGGTCCCCACACTTCTAACGTCTCCTCCCAATGTACACGCGAATCAAAACAAAAAAGATTACCATACGTTAGTCCCGAAATCAAGACTTACCTATTGATAGTGCCGCACAACCTTTCAAAACTGTCACAGCCTGTGAAGAAAAGGCAAAACTTCTAAGAAAGTACCAAAATATAACAGACTCGGAGAAAAACATATATAGATTCATTATTGAGAAATATAATCAAAGAGAGCAATTAGTAGTGACAAATGTCGTGCATGAAGCAGGACATGTTTATTATGTCTAAAATACTAGTACCTTATCCCACGTTTTAGGGGTAAACATGACTTGCCTTGCCTTTGAAACCAAATTGATGCGAACTTTTCAACATACATTCCTTCCAGGTTTTTTCGAAAAATTACGAAAACTTACCATTATGCAGACGATTATTAAACTTGTCCACGCCATGATGGTTGTTCCCCGGTAGTAGATTAACTATCTGTCTGATTACCATCCTTCCCATCTACTTTATATAGTTTGTATATAATTGTTGATACCCTCTTCAGATGATTTATATACTTGTTTATTGTTCTTATTACCGGAGGAAATCGTCACCAAACCGTCCTTAAAAAAAAATCAAATTTAAAGTAACCTCCACGCTCGTTTCTGTGTTATATTTATGATACAGTTTGCATAACAGTAGATATGTCCTCGGTGGGATTTATAATCCGTTAAAGTGGTAGAAAACCAACAGAAGTGCCCACGTTAAAATGAAATGAAATGGGGTTTAATGTCCTACTGTTCTGCTCCGAACTGAGCATACGCCATATAGTGTACTATGAGGGAAATTTTGCCCGTACAGCGGCACTACGGCCTACTCTTATATCGAATTCCAACAGTCAAGGGATCTTTTACGTGCACGTCAATGTGTATACCATCCGAACGACTAGACAGCTGTCCTTGTCAGGCCTTCCGTCCTGCATCACTGACAAGGGGGAACCACGCCGGAAAATCTGGATGTACTTTCTCGGCCAATGCAGGGACCGAACACCCGATCTCCAGGCTAGCGAGACAGTGTCTTGCCCTCGTAGCCACCGTGACCCCACCCACGTTAAATATACATGTATATAGTCTCTTTGCAAGAATAGACATCATCCTATGCTAGTAAATCTATTTTATTTTTCAGATATTGACGTTGACAGCAAGAGTGTGAGATTGCTGTTCCACTTAGACCTGTTATATCGTTATTTATAATCAAAATCCATTCAAATAAATATCGTATCCCTATCGTTTCCATATCATATCCCTACCAAAAACTCTATCACAGTTATTCGGTATTTTTACCAATGCATTGTCTCTTTAACAACGCAGTTTACATCCTGCAATAAACCTGCTGACGTATGCAAGTCGTTTATTTGTTTAAGAAATGCATTTATACAATCTTCTCATTGCGTTAGACCTAGGCTGTTTTGTCAAAACATGTTTATATTATATAAGCTTCGATTAGGGTTGATTTTGTTTTGTTAGTTGAGGGTATTCTAAGGCGCAGTATGGCGTATTATAAGGTCTGTTTTATGTTGAAAATGAAATGGGGTTAACGTCCTACTTTTCTGCACCGACCGGTCTAATGAAGACAGGCATACGTCATGCAGTCTGATATATGAGGGCAATTGTCCCTAAACAACTGCATTTCCGCCTACTCTTTATGGATATACGTGCACACCAACGTGTACACGGGACCTTGTTTTTGTCCCATCCTTGCCATGCCCCATCATTGACAAGGGGAAACCTCGCTTAAAAATCCCGAGGTACTTTCTCTGCCAATACCAGAATAGAACCCGGGACCTCCCGGTTAATGAGCCATGAGTTTGATTCCATAATTAATTGGGCTTTCCTCCCACTACTAAATAGACTGACTACGCAAACGAATTGACAAGTAAATAATTTTATTATTATGCTAGCCCCAAAAATGACCTATATGTGTTGAGTTGACGTTAAAACACACTTCCAACTTTTCCTTTGATAATAGTGTAAAGAGAGGTCTATAAGGTTATCTATGAAAAAAATAAACCCGAAATCTCATAGTATTTTGAATGTTAAATATAACGAGGGCTGCCAAAAGTGATCTTTTTATTCAATTTAAAAAATACATTTATAACCAGTCAATCAGTCTGTACAAATTGTTAATGGTAATCATCGTCTAGAGTGACGGGAAAATTGTCTAAATTAGAACTATTATTTTCAATTTTTTAAGGGGGTATTTGGTGTATCTATCGTAATGTAGCCGTTGTGATGCATCACCATGGTCGATGTCAGTGCGAGTATAGTATGCTCGTGCTATAGGGGCGAATGGTTAACACGTACGCGCTATATCATAAGGTCTGTCATTGAGTCAACTGGCGTGGTTACGAGACAAGGAGTAGGGTCGCCTGTTCAACCTCGTGGGGTTTCTCCGAGTCCTCCGGTTTCCTCCCACTGCTAAAGACCCCTACGCGCAACCAAATATTGAAATAAATTGAACCATCTGTTAGTCCCAAAATGACGTAGTTTGTGTCGAGTGGACGTTACCCCCCCCCCCCTCTCTCTCTCTCTCTCCAATTTTACATGCGTAGAGTCGAATAGTGTATCAATTGCAGCCGTAGATAAGAATTATCTCGCTAAAAATTGCAGCTAGTACTTGGCCGGGGGGGGGGGGGGTGCCTTTCATTTTAGGGACGTTTTATATTTGATTAGGCTATCCATCGAAGAAAAATTAAGAAAATGCCTATTTAACTTGTCAAAACGTTTCCCATTTAAACCCATGGCATTATAGTGTCTGTGTCTCTCTGTCGGCCCTTTACATTGGACGCAATACGAAACCAACGACCAAAGTGCTCATATCAACCTGTCCCATAAAGCCTAGTGACATAGGTTGGACGCCCACGACCAGATTGGCGGGGCGCCCAACCAATGTCACTTGGCTTTATGGGCGCCTCGCCAATCATGTCGTTATATATGAAGCGTGCCAAACTGGAGAGGCGCCTCGTAATGAATCACACGATTAACACAACTTGATTGATGGAGCGCCCAAAACGGCGTGATCTGTGGGATGGCTTATTCCGGAAATTCAACCAAGTAGCACTCTAACCCGATTCCGAACTTTTCGTTTTTGTCATAATTAATTATTATAAGTACGCTAAAATCGTATTCCTTCCTTCAAATTTTTAGAATGTTCATATTAAAATATCATAATATGTCAATATTGAAATTTTCTGTCATTTTCATAGTTCCTGTCCTCGGGAGGCGTGTCCACGGTGCCGTTCCCCGTGGACCGTCAACTGTAGGTACATCGACGCTCCCAGAAGCCGTATTGGCGCCCTCAGAAGCCCCCCCCCTCACCAACATAACATTTTTTGGCTAGCTATGGACCTGCTCTGCTCTTGATTTTAAAGTGAGAAACTAGGGGTTAGATCCGGCGTGGTTGGGGGGGGGGGATTGGCTTTCTCTGCCCGTCTGTATTTTTTTTTTGTATTTTACTTTGAGGTATCTCGTTGAAATCTGGCATTGGAGGACGCAGGATAATTTTTAGGGGGGGGGGGGGTAAGAGAAACTCGAGGTGTCAATGGGGCATATTTGGACCAGAATATAGCCTTCAATTTTATCAGCTACATCCTCTAACCAACACAAATTGCAAATTTACAAGTTTAATCCGGCTAGGTCTACGAGTGACTGAATTTAATACACGAGTCGTTTCTGTCACATTGGGTTGGTCAGCTATATGTTTCGTTTGGCAGACGGTCTGACCTTTTTCCGAGACTAAAGCCTGTGACATTATTTATATATTAAGACCACTATAATGTTACATTCTGTCCCTGTTGGTATATAGATCCTTGTATTCAAACTGATTGTAACTATTGCACAACGAATAAACGGCATTTCGGCCAACGTCTTATTGGCCAGATCATCACTAACCTTAACACCAGTCCTATAACTAGAATAGCACCTAATCGACCTCTAGGGCAGAGGTTCTCAGCCTTTTTTGCCAACGGCACACCTTGGAACACAATGCAAAAATAGCGGCACGCCTGGCTAAATACATATATGAAAAATATTTGAATTTTGCAAAATAAAAACATGGTAAGTCGGACTGAATACAAGTGTAAACAGAGACTCTTTAGAATGACTCAAACTAAATAAAGAAAAACACAGCTATGAACTTATCAGTAGACACCAGTGAATACTCAATTGGGATAACGTGGTTTTTCACATTTTCTGATTTCGCGGCACACTTAGGAAGATCTCGCGGCACACTAGTTGAGAATCACTGCTCTTGGATATGCGTCTTGTGTGTCCCGTTTATGACCGAGGCAATGCATCCGAATTTTTTGCCTCGTTTCCCCATTGTCGGTGATGCAGAGAGGATGGCCTGAAAATAGCACCCGTTGGCGTGTACTTGTCAGCATGCACGTAAAAGAACCATTGCCAGTTGAAATTCAACGAATAGTAGGCGGAAACGCCACTGTCCGGGTAGTGTCCCTCACAGGTGCACTGCATGCCGAATGCACGTCTCCTTTACCGCTGTTGGTGCAGAAAGGTACGACGTTTAACCTCACTTCTTGTCTGGAATAACTTTTGACCTTTATAACGCGTTTGCTCTGACATTTAGTTGGTTTAGTTCGTTTCATCAATGACCTCCGCCGGATAAATTGATTATTTATTTAGGATTTCATGGAATGATAATTGTGTTGCTAATTAATTAATATAACTTATATAATGATACTTCACACTCGCAAATTGGGGAGTTGGGCTGCCGAATTGGTTTCAACGCCTGCGCTTTAGATTACAAGGTCTGTTATTGAGTCGAGTGGCTTGGTTTCAGTTCCGCGCTTGTACCTGACAAGGAGCAGGGCCGCCTGTCAAACCTAGAGAATTAATAAAAACAAGAGAATGCACGGACTTTCCTTTTTTTTCTCGTCCTCTCTTATCTAGTGACAGTCAAATGCTTTTTTATAAATTGTCAAATATCCTCTCACAGTCTAATAAAACAACTTTCATCTTCAAAGGAATTATCAGTGAGCTCAAAATCGACCGTGTATCTGTTATCGCTAGTTACTTCAGTCAGTTATATATATATATAAGAATAACTGGTGTTTTCCAGTTTTTGCGACACTCCCCGTTTCTTCAAATCTTCGTTACGCATCTATCGTAGCAATGATCTCTGTGTTAAAATTATATTTGTTGTTAAATATATTTTGGTTTTTAAGTTTTGTGTCAATTTCTGTAGTGAAATTTGAAAAGAAGAGTCTTTAATCGAGATTTGAAGACTGACAAAGACGTCATAACTAGGACTGAATTCCATCTTTCAGCGGCAGCAAAAGCAAACGCTCTTTGTCCAAAGCTTGCAAATTTTCCCATTTGGTACCACTAGCTGATTGAGATCGTTTGAACGGAACTGTCCTTTTGGAATATATTGTTGAAACGTTATTTCCATTCAAACAGGCGGTCACGGTGGCAGGCTAAGTGGGTAAGAAGCTGGCTCGCTAGCCTGGAGTTCGTGTGTTCGGTCCCTGCATTGGCCGAGATAGTTTATCCAGATTTTCCGGCGTGCCCCCACCCACCTCCTTGTCAGTGATCCAGGACGGAGGGCCTGGCAAGGACAGATACATTGGCAGTTGTAATTCGATATAAGAGTAGGCCGTAGTGCCGCTGTCCGGGCAAAATTTCCCTCATAGCACACTGTATAGCGTATGCCCGTCTTCATTAGCCCAGTTCAGAGCAGAACAGTAGGACGTTAAACCCCATTTCATTTCATTTCCATTCAAACAGCTGTAGCTCAACGTCACTGATACTTTCCCAGATTTCCAGTTTGTCATTAAAGGCATAAAATTACAACTTGAGTGAAATCAATATCTGCACACGTGGTGTTTTAAACTAGAAAGGGGTAGTTCATAACAACCTTGTTTAAGAATAAAGGTTACCTTGAAACTACTTTATTTATGAATTACGATTACTTCTATTTGACATAGGAGTAGGGTCGCCTGTTCAACCTCGTGGGTTTTCTCCGGGGCCTCCAGTTTCCTCCCACTGCTAAAGACCCCTACGCGCAAACAAATTATTTAAATAAAATTAAACCATATGTTAGTCCCGAAATGACCTAGTTTGTGTCGAGTGGACGTTAAACCCCATATCTCTCTCTCTCTATTTGACACGAGTTCTCTTATCAGAACGATAACATAATACTTGTCGAAATGTCTCGCAAAATGTGCAGTGTACTGTGATTGTGTTCCATAATGTTCGTTGTGTTTTTCTTTTAACCCAACGTGACAAGGAGTATGGTCGCCTGTCCAACCTCGTGTGTTTCTTCCGGGTCCTCCGGTTTCCTTCCACTGCTAAAGATTCCTGCACGTGTGCACAAGCGAATTATTAAAATAAAATTGAACCATATGGTAGTCCCAAAATGAGTGGACGGTAAACCCCGTTTTCTCCCTCACTTTAACGTACCCTACACATCGAATACACGTGTAATACTTTTGCTGCCTTCTCACACCCTTCTGATACGCTTTTCATTTTCAATTGCTAAACTAAACCTGCTGCTCAAATATCTATTTTTTTATGGACAGTGTTTACCTGGCGAAATGAAATGAAATGGGGGTTAACATCCTACTGTTCTGCTCTCCGAACTGGGCCATACAGTGTGCTACGAGGGACATTTTGCCCGGGCAGCGGCACTACGATCTACTCTTATATCGAATTTCAACTATCAAGGGATATTTTACGTGCACGCCAATATGTACACGGGACCTCGTTTTTTCGTCCCATCCGAACGACTAGACAGCTGTCCTTGTCAGATCCTCCGTCCCGCATCACTGGCAAGGGGAAAACCACGCCGGAAAATCTGGATGAACTTTGTCGGCCAATGCAGGGTTAGACACCCGACCTCCTGGCTAGCGAGCCAGCGTCCTACTGTTTACCTGGTAATTAGTGTATTCATAAATAAGAATTACATCTCAAGATACAGGAATGAAATGAAATGTGATGAGGTTTAACGTCCTACTTTTATGCACCGACTGAACTAATGGAGACGGACAGCGCTACGGCCACCTCTAATTTCGAATTTCAACTGTCAACGGTTCTTTTACGTACACACCAAATGTACACGGGACCTCTGTTTTCGTCTCATCCGAAACAATCTGATTAAAATACAGATCTATATTTCGTTTCGTTTTTTTATACTTTCGATGGCCTACACTACATGAAGTGTAGTAAAGACAAGTAAAACGAAATTTTGAACTATAAAAACGAAACGAAATAGGATCTGTGTTTTAACCAGATTGCATCCGAACGACAATACGCTAAACTTGTCAGACCATCCGTCTTGCACCAGTGACAGGGAGAATCAACACTGGAAAATCCCGGAGAGCTTTCTGGGCCAACATCCCAGCGGCTTACTCACTGGGACACCGTGGCTCCATTAAGATAGGATTATGATAACCCTAACCCGACCCGAAACCCTAGCCACGGGGCGTCATCCTAACGTAATCCTAACCAAACTGTGGTTACGAATATCATCGTACTCTATATTGTTGGTCCACATTTCCAAATATTGAAAGAAGAAAATATAAAAAATAAATAGATTAGATGCTAATTGCCGACATATACTTTATTAAATAATGTATATAAATAGTAAGACATCCCCTTTATTAAATAATGTATATAAGTTGTAAGAAATCCCCTTTATTAAATAATGTATATAAATAGTAAGAAATCCCCTTTATTAATAATGTATATAAGTTTTAAGACATCCCCTTTATTAAATACTGTATGTTGTAAGAAATCCCCTTTATTAAATACTGTATATAAATAATAAGAAATTTCCGGTGGTATAATGATGCATAATGGTAGGCCCTTGTCAGTGATTAGGATATTAATTGATGTTCTGAATCATTCTAACTTGAGACTCATCTGAAAAAAAAAGCATTCAGATCATTCCATAAAATGTAAAAGAGGTCACAATTCAGTAAGGAGCACTTCTTGTGCGAGTGTGTTGATGCGCTATCCCCAATACAACGCTAGAACAAAGTTTGTCTCTTTACAATTATCTGTAGAATATGGAACTAGACGCTTTTCCTGCACCACTACCAAGGAACCTTCCAAGTTCTAATGCATTAATACAGCGACAATAACTGGTTAGCTAAAAGAATTTCACATATTCAATCATGTGGTGTCATTGTTCTCAAAAAAGTAAATACACCCTGCCTAGTGCACGGCATTTGACAAGGCAATAATATGATCCTGAGAAGCAATGGCCATCATAAGCTAAATCATAGATATTTCAGTTTGTATTTTGACTACCTTTTAGGATATTTTATTCGAATACATGTAGTCACAAAAATTAAAAGATCATCTTAAATATTTACCGCATAATTTTGTTGCAAAAGACAGTGCTTGTCTTTTTGCAGATGGGCCTGTTTGGGCTAAGTTAAAGCCATATCTTGCAATAGATGCCATCAAACCATCATCTCCTCTACCAGCAAAATAAAGTTCCACACCTGCTTCCCGGGCAGCTACTATATTTCCTAGCAGAGCATCTCGGTCAATTTTGTTTCCAAGGAAGATAACTGCGACACGTCGAACACCAGGACGACCACCTTTAGCAACGGAATACGCAGACGTGAGAGAGCCGATTAGCTTTGGAAGTCGAGGATTCTCGTAAGAAATGAGTCTCTCTCTGATGTCACCGAAACTTGAATATCTGTTAAGATTGAATCCGGCATCCAGTGGACAGGAGTCGCTGATGACACCAACTCTCATGTAGGTGAATTCCTTGGTAGTCAGTGTGTGGGTAATGAACTGGGTGACCCAGGCGGTTTGATCAATACCGAGATAAGCAGGATCGAATACATAGTAGATATCAGTAGGGTTGTTAAGTCCACAATCTGTAATAAATTGAATTAAATGGCTCTAAAATTCTTATTAATTAACAAATGTTTCAAAAAATGTTGTATTTCACTCTTATTCTGTTGTGAGTATGTTTGTCGATGAACAAAATTTCCCCCAGAGAGAAAAAAAAGTCGGTCTCAAAATAAGTGCAGTCACTGCAGTCGGTCTCAAAATTATGCATCGGCGACTCAATGAATTAATGAGGTAAACAAACAATGTCAGAATAGATCCCAAGCCAATAGGTCGCATTTTGGCTACCCCCCCCCCCCACACCCCCAAACAAAATCGTTATGTACGCCCCTGCCTAAACGTTTTGATGCAATACAAGATAATGTAACCTAACAACAAAATTTGTCAGCCGACAGTTCTCGCGATAATAGTTAAAAGATACATAATGAAAAGGGAATATGTTAAAAAATTTCAATCAAATTACTTCACTCTGAGCCAAGTACAAGAACAGTATAGCCTCGATTGTCATTGCTACCGTTCTTACGATAATAAACAAAGTATCGAATATCCATTTTAATTTTAATCTTTAACCGCAAATCATATTTAAATCTGTTGAAATATCTAAAGTATCCAAAGGTATCGAGAGTTGGTAAGTTAATTTCCATCCAATCAAGAATTTATTTAATATACTATTCAAAAAAAGTAGGGGATATTTGATTTTTAAGTGTTATTAAAGTCACCTAATGAAACTGACGAAGAAACAAATGACAAAATGAAATGAAGTTCACATTCATCGATTTATTCCAAATGATCGTTAGACTAAGTAAGGCACAGACTGACCATTATAAGGGTAAAATGATACCCGGGGTCAAACAGCAAAGTTACCACAGCATCACAACCAAGTCAGTAACGGGTAAATCCTCCTCTGTTTGCCAAACAAGCATTGATCCGACGTGGCATACTCCTAATGAGACGTCTAAGGTCATTTTGGTCCAGATTGTCCCATTCCTGTTGCAACGCAGCAGCAAGTTCTTGGACATTGGCAGGACGTTGTTGACGTTGACGTAACCTCTGTCCAAGCATGTCCCAGACATGCTCGATGGGGGAGAGGTCGGGACTCAGTGCTGGCCAAGGTAATGTGGTGATGTTCTGTTGTTGGAGGTAACCTGTAACGATCCTGGCCCTGTGACATCTTGCGTTGTCATCCTGGAAGATGAAACGGCGGCCATGACGTCGTGCGAACGGCACAACATGGACTGCCAAGATGTTGTCCCGGTAGTACTGGCCTGTAACACGCCCTGCAACAACATGTAAAGCCGTTCTTCCAGCAACAGTGATGCCTCCCCACACCATAACAGAACCACCCCCAAATCGCTCATGTCTGATGACGTTAACGTCTTGGAAGCGCTCGTTTCGACGACGCCACACCCTCCTACGTCTGTCCAAAAAATCAACAGTGAACCTTGACTCATCTGAAAACATCACATTGCTCCAGCGTCGATTATCCCAGTGTTGACGATCCCTACACCAACGACGTCTTGCCTGAATGTGATGATCTCTCAAACAAGGGATCACGCGAGGACGTCGGGCGCGAAGGTGACCCCTATGCAGTCGATTCCGAATCGTCTGGCCACTCACTCTCACACCAGTGTCTGTTTGAAGACGAGCGCTGATCTGATTTGCTGTGATGACACGATTTCTCAAGGCCAAGGTACGGATAAATCGATCCTGGGCTTGAGTTGTCGCCCTTGGTCGACCTGAGCATGGTCTGTCCTGTACAGATTGTGTATCACGGTATCTGGACCATAGCCTGCTTATGACAGACTGAGAAACATTCATCGTCCGCGCCACAACCGCCTGTGTTGTGCCGATCTGTAGCATGCCAAGGGCACGTAACCTTTCATTTTGGGTAAGCCGACGCATATCAAAATTTGTTTTCTGGTCACTAAAACAATTAAACTGATGTTTCCACCCTGGAATTCAATGCCACAATGACTGTAAGATTCAAAGTCAGAGTCGTGCAAATCTTGGGTTGGACCCCCATGATGATCCCAAGCATCAACTGCATTCCATGCGGTAGCTATTGGTGCGTTTGGGCGTCACATGTAACTGGAAATGTTTCTTCTGTTAGGTTCTATAGTGACTTTTTTCGTAGTCATTTGCATATTTTAGTATTATGCCCCCAAAATCAAATATCCCCTACTTTTTTTGAATAGTATATTTAAGACATAAAGAAACAGCTGCAATAGGCAGACTTAACTCTTGCATAATGCCGCTATAAAACTGTATGTTAAACTGTTTTGCAATCAATATTTTTACAAACTACAGGTGTAGATTAATTTTAGATCGAACACATTTTCTATATGTATTTCTTACCTTCATCTTTCGGTGGTGCTGGAGTCGTTGGAATCTCTGTAATAGATCACACAAATATATTACACCACAACACATTTTACCAATGTCAAAATTTCCAAATTTTAATTTATATCAACTCTTCTAGAATAAGCTTATTGAGGCGATATTTCGGAATTCGTATTTCGAAAAAACAGCCTATTACTTCGAAGGTGACCACAGAGCAGATCGCCATGAGCGGACCATTATTGGCATAAGCATTACAGGGATTCAGCAATGGTGGTTTAGAACACAAGGGCCAATATAAGACTCTCGTCAGTTTGTGTACTCACCTCTACAGGTCTTATAAGACAATTTATCCTTGATGGCTTCCAACTCGGAGTAGGTATCTACGATGATGACTCGGTCAGGATCACCAGCAATATTTTCTAATTCTGATCTGTTAACGGCACTGCTTACACCAATTGCAAACATATCAATACGATCATCGCGTGCTCGCTTGGCTTCAAGAGCTGTCTTTTCGGAATCCTGAGATTTTCCGTCAGTAATAACAATACAGATCTTTCGAAGTCCCGTTCTAGCTTCTGGCATTATCTTTTCTCTCATGTAAGCAATACCATCGCCTGGAAATATATATTTATCAACCTTCAACATTGATCTGTGACCTATTGATCAACATGAACACTTTGACCGGGTCAGTAGTTGCATGCCTAGACAACAAATTACAAGAAACTTACCAGTTTCCGTTCTACTTCCATGATGCCACACCAAACCAGAAATACTCTGTTTGAGAGATTCTTTAGTGAGGAAATCGTTGAAGTGGATAACATCTTCGACGTATACTCGCTGAGCATAGGTTTCAATGGCTACGCGGACCTTGTTGGAACCGATAACATAAGGTTCAATAAAACTATTCACAAAGTCTTTAGCTTTTGTGAAGTTCTGGGACCATATGCTGGATGAAGCATCGAGGATGAAAACTAGATCAAGCGGATGCTGATAACAGACTGAAATGTAAGAAAGTAAATAATGCTCTAAATCAATTCATGCGTCTCATTGTTATCATTTGTATTCTAGAAGGAGAAAGATAAAATGGGGTCTTATGTTCCACTATTCAGTATCAATCGGGCTGATGGGCATACGCCATGATATGTTTTGTGACGAAACTTTGGTGCGGACTGCGGCGTGTCTGCCAACTCGTCACCGAATTCTAACTATCAAGGGTTCTTTTGCTTGCACGGCAACGCTTACACGGGTGAAACTAGGTGTTTCTTACTATCCGAAAATCCCGAAGAACTTTCTCGGCTACTATCAAGGGCTTGCACGGCAACGCTACACGGGAGAACCTAGTTAATTCGTCCCATCCGAAAAACCGGAAGAATCTCCTCGGCCAAGGGTTTTTTTGCTTACACCGCAACGCTTATAGGGGTGAAGAGCTTTCTCGGCCACTATTAAGGGTTCTTTTGCATGCACGGCAACGCTTATACGGGTGAAACTAGGTGTTTAGTCACACCCGAAAATCAAATCCCGAAGAACTTTGTCGGCCACCACCGAGATCGAAATCGGGAAATTCTTGTTAGTGAGTCAGCGCCATTTTCACTAAGACACCATGGCTCCTCTAGAATGCGCAATCTTACACCCGACACTACAAAAAAGGATTAAGACAACTGATTAGAAACATATACCGGTAAGTAACTAACAAAAACAAAAATTACCATAATTTGGACCAGGCGGACTCCTTCTTTTGGCTGAAACGATAATATAAGTACAGATATAAGTAAAATTTAAAAACAAAAACCCAAACAATCTTGCACTAACAGAAATGTAAATAAAACAAACATGGTATGTACTATTTTTGGTACTGTCCATAACCTGGCACCGCAGAATTTCAATTCGATTTAATAGAAACACAAAGAATCGTGCACCAACATCCCACGCTGTCGCATACCACCAATTACGTCAATTTTGTTTCCATGGAAAACATACTGATTCCAATAAATTTTTAATAAGCCAAAGACAGAAATGCTATAAGAATATGTGTGCAAAGTGTAATTAAGACATCTATAAACGCTGTGTGCGATATGACTGGAACAAAACCTGGATAGATGGACGGACTGACAGGCGGAGGTCTTTTCAATATCATCCCCTTAAGAGCGGGATAATTAAGGATCTCGTTGATGTAGGAATATCATTATTAAATTAAATTGGATTGAAATGATCTGACGTTTTATATCGATTAGCGATGGTACATTTCGCAAGCGAAAGTGTAAGTGGAAATTGGCCGAGTTCCCGACAGAAAAATCAATTGAATTGTTCCGCGGGTCAACCGTAAGCGTCTACTTCAACCTACTGTTCAAGGTCCGTATGTCATAATTCTGTTCAATAACCAGATACACCCCCCCTCCCAAATTATCAATATTTCTACTTTACAAAAAGCGTAATTAATAAATCTTCTTGCTCATATTAGTAGATGTCTACGGTTCTTTGTTTGAAGACCACGACGTCGTATATCTTCTACATTTAATAGAATCAATATAGAAACGTTTACGTAGTTTTCCCCTAGATGATTTAAGCATATTAAAAAGTCTATATGTATAAAAAAAGAGAACTTACCCAATAAATTCTTAAGATCGATATCCCATGCACTTATAGTCTGAAAATGAAAGTTATTGTTTAAAGATACGTCGTATACTGGCATACTATCGCGCAAAACGCATATCCAAAGTACCTTTAAACATATATTTATTCTCCAAAAATGGTATTTTGTGAAAAACGATAGAAATGCCACAAACATCGATTGTGTATAATAAGTAATTATAAAAAATCAACCCATAAAACTAAAATGTTTAAAAAAAGGTCTTTTTTACACACACACACACACAAAAAAAACTAATTTGATATATGTCTATTTATTATGAATTTAGATATGTTCAGTCAGACACTCAGATTCGATTTTACCGGTTACCCCAAACACTAAATTTTCAACATGTATGAGCTCACAGAAGTGTATAATGCCCCCCCCGCCCCCATGACAATGTGTACGTTTTAAAGTGACGATGCGTCATTTGAATTTTCGTCCTAATACTAAATTTCTCACTGCGTAATCGGATTGATTATTTATCAATCAATTAAGAAAACAAAAAAAAAATCAAATTTCCGACGCTGGATAGCCTCCCAATCGGATTTAAAACAAGTCTTATTAATTCTGTTCGCCAAAACAAAATTGCGGCGGGCTTACAACATAGCAGGCAGCATAGATCGATGAAATTTCAGATTAACATATCTTTGTAAATATTGAACGAAATTAAACTATTTTAGGCTGATCTGCCTACTGCAATTACAAAATCGTAGTTGCGCTAAAATGACGCAATGGCACATTTCCCCAACTATTGTATGTATGTGATTTTTGTACATATTGACAATTAGAAAATGAGACGAGGTTTAACTTTCAGTGTTTCTGCACCGACTGGACTAATGAAGACGACCATACGCTATGCAGTGTACTATGTTGGGCATTTTTCCCAGCCAGCGGCAACTGTCAATGGTTCTTTTACGTGCACTTTTACATTGGTTTTTCTTGCCATTCCCCCTGCACCACTAACAAGAACAAATCACGCTGGAAAACCCCGGAGAAGAACTTTCTCGACCAACATCGACAAAGTCCATCGACCATCGTGTTTTCCAGACTGATATTCCTATTTTCATGATCGCATAACCTTTCGGATTTACGAAAACTCAAAGTCCCGTGTACACATTGGCATGCAATGCACGGAATTTTATAATTATCGGAATGGGACACTGAAAATGTTTTTCTGTTTCTCTGTTACTACAACACATAACGGACAGTGGCGTACAGAACGGGGTGATCACTCCGGGTATCTTTTAAACTGGGGGAATCTATTCATAGCGTGAAATTAAAATTAAGATTTTTCAAATTAATGCTGTTAAATTTGGCGTACAAGCTGCTCTACTTTATTTAAATAGAAATTTACTTTATCTGCTCTGACATACTATACAAAATGTCTTCCTTTCTTATATTTCTGATATTTCAAGGAATTGGCCCCGGGTATAACCATACCTCTGCACACCACTGTGAACATTTCATTTAAACATACATTATGCAAGAGCTAAATCTGCCAATTGCAGGCCTTTCTTTAGGCCTGAAATGTTATCTAAAGTATTAATTAGACATTAATTAACTTATCCAGACCATAATCAACTCTCGATGGTATCGCCAGCCTGCGATATTTACCGGATTATGACCCAATTTGCTGCTCGACTTCTATTCATAATTTAATCATGAAATGGGTGATCGAGATTATGTTTTTTAACGTACAGACTTTAGTAATGATGATCGAGGCTAGGCCGAAATTTCAATCGCTTAATTCTCGGCTCATAGTGGATCAATTTGACTGATGTTTTCAGCAAATTACCTTTACACTATCTAGTTTTTAACTATTATAGTGAGAACTGCCAGCTCTTTATCTCATCACCCGTAATATATCTTTAAATAATTCTTGAAAACCCTTTTCTCTGTTACCACATCCAGCCGAATATTATTTTCTACTGATTGACGTCATAATATCGGTTTTTTTTAAATTATTTTTCATTTCGAAAAATCGAAATGATAGTAAAAAGACGCCTCTTAACAATTCAAAAACTATAAAAACTATAAATTAAAAACTAAGATATTCTTTTGATAAAAGAGGGAATTTGAAATGAAATGGGGTTTAACATCCTACTGTTCTGCTCCGACTGGTCTAATAAATGAAGACGGGCATACGCAAAAAGGGAAATTTTTATTGTTATTTTCCATTTCGAAAAATCGAAATGATAGTAAAAAGGTGCTTCTTAACAATTCAAAAACTATAAATTGAAACCGAGATATTCTTTTAATCAAAGAGGGAATTTGAAATGAAATGGGGTTTAACATCCTACTGTTCTGCCCCGACTGGACTAATGAAGACGGGCATACGCAAACGGGGAAATTTTGTCCGGATAGCGGAACAACGGCCAGGCCCTCCGCCTTGCACCATTGACAAGGGGAAAATCACCCGATGTACTTTCTCGGCCAACACCGCGAGCAAACCCGCAACCACCAGACTAGCGAGCTAGTGTCTTACTCACTCACCCATCTTGATTTCCAAGAGAGAATTTTAAGACCGTTTTAATAACCACCCTCGGAATTATGGTTACTATACATCGGCTCAGAAGAACAATAATCGTTTGAATTTTTATATCAGATACAAGTTCAAAAAATGGTAATAATATGTAGCCCATAGCTTGAAATACAGCAAAAATTTGAATTAAGAAAATAATTTTACCTACCCCGATACAGAAAAATACGACTGCTATCCTCAGAAACATGTTGATTAGTTGTCTTATTCCTATCTAGGATGCTAAGATCTGGCAGCATGCTTTTATAGAAATCTTCTCCAGTAATTATGTAATTATCTTATCAAAAATAGGAGAGGTGGAGACATAGGAGACGACCACTTATCGTCTCATCCAAAATTATAATTGTACCGAAATTGGTGTGAAACCTGGCAATTTGGCAAATGGGTTGTTACCGCATTGCAGATATTTTGATTTCCGTGTAAGGTCAAAGTTAACGATGCGTATTTAACAACCTTTGGTATTACGTTCTTGTAATTTTAGTAACTTGATCATGTGTGGCGACGTGATGGAATTCGTTGTATAACTTTCCACGTAAATGTGACTAAGGGTAAATTGCCTTAGCGAGAGCAAAAAGCGAAACCCGGAAGTGTCACATCTATAAACGAGTCTCTTAGTACTAAAAGGACAACTGTGGCAGGTTACGGGCTATATCGCGCCTTCCTCAATGCCGGATTAACCACGGGGGACGGTTACGCCCAGGGCCCCCACATCAACCTCCCACCTACAAAAGGTCATCTGCTAGTGGCATTGCTAGGGCCCCCAGAGACCCTCCATGGGAAATTGAGGACCCTTCAATACCCCCTTAGCGGAAGAATAGTACCAAGAAAACACATCAAATACCTCTTTATCGGTAATTTTAGTGTTTCAAGAGAGTGAAATCCAGGTAACTTTGAACGTACTTTTTCCTTTAGTTTCCGGCGAATAGAGAAACGTTGGTTTCCGTTGAAATGCGGAGTGTTATAGCGCAATTTGGCTTAGATTCACGTACGTAATTACAATTACATGCATCTGTATCAATTTTCGTCATGCATATATCACACCATGATCACTTGAAATAGTTTTGATTTCTTGATTGAATCTATTATTATCGTATGGTTCTTACAGTGTCTGACGTTCGTAAAAAAAAGTTGCTATGTTGTAACTTTACGGCCTTCGCGGATATGACCCTCCGTCTCAAAGTATCAGAGGGCCTGACAAGGACAGCTGTCTAGTCCTTCGGATGACACGAAAAACCGAGGTCCCGTGTATACATTGGAATGCACGTAAAAGATCCCTTGGCAGTTGGAATTCGATATAAAAGTAGGCGATAGTGCCGCTGCCCAGGCAAAATTTCCCTCATAGCACACTGTATGGGGTATGCCCGTCTTCATTAGCCCAGTATAGGAGCAGAACAGTAGGACGTTAAACCCCATTTCATTTCATTTCATTTGTATCCTCGTTATTTATCACTGACCGACTTCAAATTTGGTTTAATGTACTTACATTAATATGTATGGAATAATTCTATCTAAGTTCTGGTCATTTATGTTAGGTTAGCGGCCCCAAATGCCCAAGGACCCAGGGACCCAACCATGGTTAAACCGAAGCCCCCCCCCCCCTCCCCCAACTCTGCCTGGTTGTCAATAGTGCACGTAAAATAAACCTTGGAATTCGATAAAGAGTTGACAGAAATACCGGTGGTTGGACACAATAACCTTCATTAGCCCTGTACACTTCATCATAGTAAGCCTTGCTGAAGAGTTTGGCCGTCCTCCTCTAGGGAGAACAGGAGAGATCAAGTTGTTTTGTGTTGCTGTCGCATAGATCACACTTATTGAAGCGAGAGCCTTATCCAGAATTTGAACAAGTTCCCTTGAAGGTAACAAGGAATGAAATAAAATGGGAATTAACATCCTACTGTTGTGCTCCGAATGGGCCAATGTCGGGGCATACGAAATACAGTGTGCTATGACGGGAATTTGCCTTGACATCGGCGCTACGACCCACACTTATATCGAATTGCAACTGCCAAGGGGTCTTTTACCTGCACACCAATGTGTACACGGCATCTTGTTTTTTCGTTCCATCCGACCGACTAGACGATGTTCATTGTCAGGCTCTCATGCAACAAAGACCAGAGGAAACCGCACCAGAAAATCCAGCGACTACACACTAAGCCACCGCGGCCCCCAGAGTGTAAGCGTCTCAGAAATGAAATGGGGTTTAACGTCCTACTGTTCTGCTCCAGACTGGGCTAATGAAGACGGGCATACGCCATACAATGTGCTATGAGGGAAATTTTGAGGAATATTAGATCAAAGCATTACGGTTGCAAGACGTTACATCATGCGTTTGCCCAACCGACTCCAAATGGTAAAGCGTTGGACTTTTTAAAAGAGAAAAGTTTTTATATCAAATTCTAATGGTATATGTGACTTCTATTTGACACAAACCAAGTCATTTCTGGACTAACATATGGTTCAATTTTATTTCAACAATTCGCTTACGCGCAAGTTTCTTTATCTGTGGGTGGAAAACGGAGGACCCCAAGAAAACCCACGAGGTTGGATAGGCGACCCTATAGGGTATAGGGTTTACAATAGGGGAATCAAAACCATGCGACTTTACTCAATGACAGACCTTATAACCTAAAGGGCACCTCCATACTTTTAAGCTATTATTTATCCAATCATCTAATAACTGATGTGCTTGGTTTTATCTTTATAGGGGGGGTTGGATGGCTGAATGGTTAGCGTGCGCGCGCTGTATCATAAAGTCTGTCATTGAGTCGACTGGCGTGGTTTAGAATCCCCGGTTGTACGTGGCAAGGAGTAGGTTCGCCTGTCCAACCTCGTGGGTTTTTCTCCGGGTCCTCCGGTTTCCTCCCACTGCTAAAGACCCCTACGCGCAAGCGAATTATGTAAATAAAATGAAACCATATGTTAGTCCCGAAATGACCTAGTTTGTGTCGAGTGGACGTTAAACTCTCTCTCTCTCTCTCTCTCTCTCTCTCTTCTCTCTCTCTCTCTCTCTCTCTCTCTTTTATCTTTATATCAAGTGGAATGGAGATATTTCTAGAAAAGTCATAAATGCCATCATAAGCTAGATAATATAGTAACCAGAATTTATCGAGTTCGATTCCGGTGTTGATGGGAAAAGTTTCATGGGATGTTGCAGTCTGGTTTCTTCTTGTCAGTTGAGCAGGACGAAGGACCTGACAAGGAAAAGCTCCAGTCGTTTGGATGGGACGAGAAACCGTATTAGCCAGGTAACCGGTAATACCATTTGATTTGCGTTGAAAAAACAATTCGCTACGCTCTTTACAAACACTAACTACCCAACAACAACACAGAAAAAACACAGACGAGAATACGCCATACAGTGTTCCATGAGGGAGAGAGAGTGAGAGAGAGTGTAATGGGGTTTAACGTCCACTCAACACAAACTCGGTCATTTCGGGACTAACACATAGTTTAATTTTATTTCAATAATTCGCTTGCTCGTAGGGGTCTTTAGCAGTGGGAGGAAAATGAAATAAAATGAAATGGGTTTAACATCCTACTGTTCTGCTATGAGGGAAATTTTGCCCAGACAGCGGCACTACGGCCTACTCTTATATCGAATTCAAACTGTCAAGGGATATTTTACGTGCACGCCAATGTGTACACGAGACCCCGTTTTTTCGTCCCATCCGAACGACTAGACAGCTGTCCTTGTCAGGCCCTCCGTTCTGCATTACTGACAAGGGGGAACCACGCCTGAAAATCTGGATGAACTTTATCGGCCAATGCATGGAACTTAGCCACCGTGACCCCCAAAGTTAAAAATGATCATGTGTCAAAAGTAATACCAGTTTTAATGTAAGACGTGGAAACAAAATTGATCAAGATGCTCTATTAAGAAATGTAGAAATTGCTCGGTAAACGGGAGTTGAACTTCATTTCGCTGGTAAAGGTGACACTGATCTTATGGCATATATTGCAAGATATGGCTTTAATTTAGCCCAGACAAGGCGATCCGCAGAAGTTTAACGTTCACTCGACCCAGACCAGGCCATTTCGTGACAAATGCGCTTCCTTAAGTATCGGGAGGAATCTGGAGGGCCCAGAGAAAACAGTCGAGGTTGAGCAGGCGACCCCGGTGTCACTATCTTCTATAATCCTTGATATATCACTCTGCATACACTCAATTGCTGATTGACCCCAGTTAAAGATCTTTCGGCGTGTTGGGAAGGGGGGGGGGCGGAAGGGGGGGGGGGAAGGGGGGGGGAAAGAACAGACAGGTAGATACTGGTATTGCATGGATATTTGCTTGATATATCAATCTGCATACACCCAATTCCTGATCGACCCCGGTTAAAGATCGTTCGTGGGTGAGGTAAGAGCAGGCAGGTAGATACAGGTGTATGAATATTTGCATAATAAATCTCCCCATGGTGACATCTACGTCCTGCAACTTTCACCACCAGTATTATATCCAAACCTTCGAATGTTGATAACATTGTGAGAATTTATTCCCAGTAGTTTCCACAGACCTATTTTTGAAATAATTTGGACGTTTAAATAAACGTTTATATTGCTAACGAAATTTATTTACTTATTTATATATAATACAACAAATAAAAACAACAAGCGGCTGTCGGCATCGGTCCATCCTGGTAAATCATCTCTGATAAATTTTTTCTCAGTTTTACTATTAATACCCCACGCAAATACCGTACTATAACCTTGGACGTTAAAACAGACATTTGCATTGCTAACGTAATTTATTTACTTATTTATATATAATACAACAAATAAAAACAACAAGCGGCTGTCGGCATCGTTCCATCCTGGTAAATCATCTCTGATACATTTAATATCGTCCTGAAAAAACAAAAACAACAAGATGTCAACTTTTTTTTATAAGAAATACTGAACCCTATATGCTCTAAATATTGCAATATTGACACCCGCTTCTCTAACATTAACATACATCAGCGCTAATCTATCAATATATGTATTCTTCTTCAATAGATGAATAGTAATTGCTGGTATATAATTAAAAAAAAGCCTTACCGCATATTTCTTCAACAAAGGCAAGGGCTTGTCTCCTGGCACCACGTCCAGCTCTGGCCAAGTTGAATCCGATTTCGTTGAGAGCATCAAGAAAACCGGGATCAGCATTTCCAGCATCAGCGAAGTAAACATCAACACCAGCTTCTCTGGCAGCTTGTGCATTTCTGATAACAGCTACTTGGTCAATTTTTCCACCAATGAATATAACAGCAACTTTACGAGCATTAGGACGTCCACCTTCGCGACGTTTATAGGCAGAGGTGAGGGAACCAATAAGTTTTGTAAGTCTCGGCTTATCATATCCTCTAAGTCTTTCTTCAACATCAGCAACGCTTCCATATTCTTTGAGGTTAAATCCAGCATCCAGTGGACATGATCCACTGATGACACCCACTCTCATATGGAGGAATTCCTGGGCACTGAGCGTGTGTGTGATGAACTGTGTTACCCAGTTAACTCGTTCCATACCGAGATAAGCAGGATCGAAGACATAGTAAATATCAGTGGGATTATCCATACCACATTCTGTAAATACACCAAAAAATTAGTAACAAAAGGCACAAAGCGCAAAATATATGAAGGCATTGACAACGCTGTAACTCACTGTGTGATAATATTACCAAAGAAGAGCATTACCAATATTTCAACATCTTATCGTCAAGATCTAAAAATAGGTTTCTTAATATAAGTAATATATTTGTACATATATTTAGCTAATATTGCAAGATCAGAACCCGCCGATACACTAACCTTCAGCTGCTGGAGTTGTTGGTGGTGGAGTTGTGGTGGTTGTGGGAGGAGGTGTAGTAGTTGGGATCTCTGTAATATAATACAAATAGATATATGTAGAGAACGACAAAATATACAAAAGAGGAAACATCGGTATTCAAGTAGGGAAGTGAATGGGGTTTAAGGTCTTATTCTGACTCGGCTACTGAAGACGGGAATACGCCATACTGAAGTGCTAGGGAAATTTTGCCCGGATAGTGGCGCTACGAACTACTCTTATATCGAATTCCAACTGTCAAGGGATATTTTACTTTCATGCCAATTTATACGGTTTTTCGTCCCATCTGAACGGCTAGACAACTGTAACACTGACAAGGGGAAACCACGCCGGAAATCACGATGAACTTTCTCGGCCAACAACTGGAGCGAACCCGCAACTTCCAGGCTACCGAGCCAGTGTCTTACTCACTGTGTAACCGTGGCTCCCTATTCAGGTAGGGAGTCATTGCAAGTTGAATGGTAATCGAAATTGTCCACAACCTCACCTATCTCATGAAGCACGCTTTTATTCTCAGAATTATCCGTTATAAGAACATCATGACAATGACAATACTTACTCTTACATGTCTTTCCAGACAATTTATCCTTGATGGCTTCCAACTCGGAGTAGGTTTCTACAATGATGACTCGGTCAGGATCACCAGCAATAGCTTCTAGTTCTGATGCATTAACGGCCCTGCTTACACCAATAGCGAACATCTCAATTCCTGCATCGCGTGCTCGCTCGGCTTCGGCAGCTGTCTTTTCGGAATCCTGAGATTTTCCGTCGGTAATAACAATACAGATCTTGGGAAGATCTGGTCTAGATTTTGGCATTATGTTGTCTGTCATATAGGCAATACCCATACCTGGTGAAGGAAAATAATAAGATTTGTGAGAGGTATCTTGTATTTAAAATAGATTCAATATTTGAGTTATATTTTATAATAATGATTACGAATACTATTTTGAACTCACCAGTTTCGGTTCTTGATCCATGGTGCCATTTCAAACCAGCAATTCGCTTCTGCAAAGATTCACGTGTGAGAAAATCGTTGAAATTAATGACATCTTGAGTGTACACTACATCGGCATAGGTCTCAATAGCAACTCGTACTTTTCGTGGACCAATTTCATATGGGGCAATAAAGCTATTTACGAAAGCTATAGCTTTGGTGAAGTTCTGGGCCCAGATACTGGATGAAGCATCAAGGATGAAAACGATGTCCAATGGATGCTGATAACAGACTGGAAATAAAAGTAGGATGGAATTATTTAAACTTCATTTTCAAAGTTTTCGTTATTTCAGTCGTTGGAAACACCAAACAAAAACAAATATCCAAATAGTCTCGATACTATCCTTGTAATAAGTCCATGTGATTTCCCGTCAAAAAAGCTGTCAATGAGACTCAAAACTTCTGTTTAATCCAAAAGTAAATATCTACATTGTGAAACACTTGAACAGAAATTCGTTTCGGCACCAACATTGCCAGTGAAGACGAAAACCATTACCAATAGTACAGTAGTATATGGATAATTTGGAAAGATTAGAAATGTAACTAATCTATGTTATGAAATAAATACGATTAAGACTTACCCATATTTGGACCACCAACCTTCCGTTTGGCTGTAAAAGTAAATATAATATATAGATGAACAAATATTATTGCATTATTGGTGTTGCCCCTTTCCAAAGCAGTTTGAAGTAACAACTTGACATTCCCAGTACTTATATTGAACTCAGTGTCATGTTTAAAGCAATTTGAAGTAACAACTTGACATTCCCAGTACTTATATTGAACTCAATATCATGTTTAAAGCAATTTGAAGTAACAACTTGACATTCCCAGTACTTATATTGAACTCAATATCATGTTTAAAATAAATAATCTATTGCTTTAGAAAAGATAGTCCCAAGTTCGCAACATACATATGGGTATGAACCAAATGCCATTTTAAACAAACAGTTTTTGTATATTATATTGCCACAACGAAACTACAAATCATTTCTTTTTCTCTTGCGAACTCTTACGAGAGAGCGCGGAGAATATTAATGTTGATCTCCATAAATTAGATATAGATATGACTTGTTTAGATTCAAATATTTTACTATAATATGGTGACCAGCCTATGTATGCCATACCTCGATTTTTAGAATACCTCATAAATTCTTTAAAAAAATCTGAAAGATTTTGAAATTAAGAAGCTTTGTCGTTTTATCGATTGATATCTTAAAAATTGCTTTTGTGTGCCTATCCTCATTCCTGCTTCAGCTCTCCTGATCACTGTATATATATGCGTGTGTGTACATATATATGATAAGAATAGATAAAGTACAAGTTTTTCTATATGTGTGTGTATACCTGTATTCAAATTTTGTCTAACTAATATTGTAGATTTCATAATACGTAACAATTCATGAACACCTCCTTTGCTATTATTCAAAGGACATATAAATTATGAACACTATGATTGGACTATAACAGCACCATACTAAGGGAGAGAGAGAGAGAGAGAGAGAGAGAGAGAGAGAGAGGGGGGATGGGGTTTATCGTCCACTCGACACAAACTAGGTCATTTCGGGACTAACATACGGTTCAGTTTTATTTCAATAATTCGCTTGCGCGTAGGGGTCTTTAGCAGTGGGAGGAAACCAGAGGACCCGGAGAAAACCAACGAGGTTGGACAGGCGACCCTACTCCTTGTCACGTACAACCGGGGATTTGGAAACCACGCTAGTTGAGAATGCTTTGTGAACTCGAGGCCTGTTCTTCTGCATTTCATAAGATACAAGTAGTGACTTTGTTAATATTCATTTTGTAATTTAGATTTTTAGATGTCTAACTGCACATTTTCTAAACAGACATGCGCGCATAGCACAAAATGTAAAGGTTAAATGACTAATTCATTTACAATCACCTTTTTCTTCGCATTTTTTTAATTAAACATACATTATGCAAGAGCTAAACCTGTCTATTGCAGGTCTTTCTTTAGACCTGAAATGTTATCTATCTTATTAATTAGACATTAATTAACTTATCCAGACCATAATCAACTCTAGATGGCATCGCTAGCCTGCGATCTTAAGTGGATTGTGAGCCGATTTACTGCATAACTTTCCTTCTCGATTAAACGATTAAATGGATAATCGAGACTATGCTGTTTATCGTACTGACTTAAGTAATGATGACCGAGGCTAGGCAGAAATTGCGTTCCCTTAGTTCTCGGTTCATAGTGAATCAATTTGAATGAAATTTTCAGCAAAATGCCTTTACGTTATCTAGTTTTTAATTATTATAGTGAGAACTGCCAACTCGTTATCGAATCTCCCATAATGTATCTTTAATTTTTATAATGAAAAACTAATTACAATATGTTGTCAACTCATTTTGTCTTAACCAAACAGCAGAAGATATTCAAGGTGATTCAATCTGCTTACTACACCACAAAATCCCACCTTTTTCTCAGATGTGTCCACTGAATTAATCATAACAATGATAATTAAATTGCGGATTAAAAAAAAAAAAAAAAAAAAAATCAGTACATGGATACAGTACAGTTAATATAAGATATGAAAATAAACCAATCACTCAAGTTACACCATAAATTATGCCCCTTTCTCAAATGAGTCCATATATAATGAAAGATAAATTTAAAAAAAAACATATTTTACCCAATTCTTCCGAATGACCGATATCAAAAGCCGTAATAATAGCCTGAAAATGAAAAAAAATAATGTTTTTTTTTGTTTTTTTTGTATTCTGCAATTCAGTAGTAAAAACATTTTATGGATGTTCTGTATCATTTCCAGTAGCAGTATTGTTTCCAACAATATCAAGTCTTTTCATGAAGGTAAAATGGGTTTAAAGTGCTACTTTTCTATTCCGACTGGGCTAATGAAGACGGACATACGCCATACAGTGTGCTATGAGGGAAATTGTGCCCGGACAGCGGCGGTACGGCCTACTCTTACATCGAATTCCAAGGGAAAACCACGCGACCTCCAAACATTGCAGAAATTGACGTTATCAGGAGATAATATTAGGTGTTGTGTGTGACATAGGGGATGGCAGTTCTTAAGAAATAAGCTAATCGTTCTGTCGTCCCACCTCCACCAACGGTTATATCTTAGACAAAAATAAGGTAATAAAATCTCAAACGTTTTAAAGAATAATGTAGTCTTAGTAAAATCGAAAACATATAACTGATTTTTCTGGCACATATTACATAAATGGAATGAAATGAAATGGGGTTTAACGTCCTGGTGTTCTGCTCCGAATGGACTAATGAAGATGGGGGTAAACATTATAGCGAAAAATGTTAAAATCCGTGACTAATAAAATACTAAATTATAAGTACATGAGAAATCAAATGTACAATGTTGAAAAAAAATATAACATAGTTATTACAAAGATAACCCGATAAATCGAAGCATGTCGCGTCAAATATCGTATTAGTTTACCCATAAAAAAACACCCCAGAAACAACCCCCCCCCTAACAAAACAAGAAAAGAAAACAGAAACCCAAATCAGGATCAACCATTGTCTTATCTTTAGATTTCAAACATAGCCATAGATGTTTCAGCATTCTAAAGTAGAATGATATCATTCTAATAGGATAAGACGTTTAGCCTTTATTTTGAAAATACGAACAAATATTAGTTGTATACACATCACCGCCGATGAAAGTAATCTCACAGAACTAATTACACGATACACGTATTTAAATGATTACAACTCTTAAAATAAATGCAGATCGTTCTATAGAATTATAACTTATACACTTTTTTTTTAGAATGTATAAAAGAATTTTATTTTTATAATATAAAATTATCTTACTAAAAATGTCTAAAGCGAAAGCGAATTGTTCTGAACCATTATTAGTTTTTAACAATTCTTAAGCTAAGTAAATAGAGCTAAGAATCCAAATTGACTTACCCCAAAAAGGACAAGAGCCACTGCTACCCTGAACATCATTCTGCTGATTATGGTATTCCAACAAAGAGTGTGATGGCATCAACCCCGTCTTCCCCTTTTAAAAGAAATCCCCACCCATTAATTATGTTTAAACGTATAGTTAATGCTTTCATTCCAGTTATAATTGGGATGAAAATTGGGGGACTAATAATGTATAATCTCGTAAGTGGATTATTATCCTAAAAATGCACAAGGCCCCACTGTGACGTAATTATTCCAAGATTGCTAAAAAAAAATTAGTGAGCTAAACTATTACTAGTAATTTGCAATTGTTAGATAAATATCTGTATTTGATAATCGGTTGTTTTATGCCCCGAAAGGTTAATGTAAATAAGAATAAAGTTCAAATGCATATAATTGCAAAGTACATCCAATACAAAAATCTGTTATGTCAAATCAATTAACAGTAAATGAAACTAATATAATCATACACTTTGAAAAGCTATGTGTTAAATTATTGTTGGTTATCGTCCAATGATAATTCCTAATTGTGTGTTGTCTCAAACTTTAAAAAACGAAGTAACTCTAATTGTTTATCACCAAATACATAGTATATAGGTTTTTACAAAACAATAGCCCACAATAAAGTAATGATGGCAGAGGTGTACAATTATGTTGGATATCTTTTTAAACGATTTTTCAGTGTAAAAATATTTAACAATATGCAAATTTCATTATTCAACAGTTCAATAAATTCTGTCCGGACCAGTTTAGTTACCACGTACTTTATGTAAACAATGCACGCGCTAATCGAAGTCAATGATCGAAGGCTTTCGAAATATCTCTGGGAACAGATAGTACGAACTAATGCCCCAAATTGAAGCTGAGCAGATGGATCACGTTATCAAATGGCAGAGAGAGAGAGAGAGTGAGAGAGAGATAGAGAGAGAGAGAGAGAGAGAGACACACACACACACACACACATCCAAACTAGGTCATTTCGGGACTAACATATGGTTCAGTTTTATTTCAATAATTCACTTGCACGTAGGAGTCTTTACCTTTCCCAACTTTTTTGCTTTGGAAATGTCCCACATTTATGTACTAACCTTTTCGCTGCAGTTTTATCTAGTAACCTTTTCATGCTAACTCTGTAGGTAATTATATGTTTTGCATAGGAGTGGAGGGGGCAGTGAGAGAGAGGAGAGAGAGAGAGAGCGAGAGAGAGAGAGAGAGAGAGAGAGAGAGAAATGGGGTTTAACGTCCACTCGACACAATTTAGGTCATTTCGGGACTAACATATGGTTTAATTTTATTTCAATAATTCGCTTCCCCGTAGGGGGTCTTTAGTAGTGGGAGGAAATCGGAGGACCCGGAGAAAACCCACGAGGTTGGACAGGCGACCCTACTCCTTGACACGTACAACCGGGGATTCGAAACCACGCCAGTTGACTCAATGACAGGCCTTATGACACCGCACGCACGTGCTAACCATTCGGCCACCCAGCCCCCTGGAGGGGGCAGTGACACAGGTAATCACTTAACTCGGAGGTATCGGGTTCGATATCGGTGTTGGCCGATAAAGTTTCTCGAGAATTTTCAGGTGGGGTTCACCATGTGAGTCGTACAGAACGAATGGCATGGCAAGAAACAGCAGCCAGACGCTCAGATGGTACGTAAATTGAGACACCGCGTAAAGTTGTCGTTAACGCATTAAGAACCCCTGACAGTTGAAATTCGATATAAGAGTAGACCGTAGTGCCGCTGTCCGGGTAAAATTTCCATTATAGCGCACTGTATGGCGTATGCCCGTCTTCATTAGCCCAGTTCGGAGCAGAATAGAAGGACGTTAAACCCCATTGCATTTCATTTATCTTTGTCAACCAAGGAAAAGACATTTATTGAAATTTGCTGGACCAGGATTTATTCAAAAATTTATTTATGGGTTCTGCTCTTTTTTGTTGTGGGGGGGGGGGGGATTCTGGGCATCACCCTGAGTCTTTATTTGGTGGTTGTATATCTGTTGTTTTTGTTTCATTCAAACAAACTTGTAATAGTCACAATGTTATAAATAATAAAAACTTGGTCTTCGTTTTGTGTTCTTCGGTCATTCGATGTTATTAGTGTAGAATTTAAGACCTTAAATCTGAATTCATTTTCTGTATATTCGCTACATACACTTTACATATACCCCATCCCAGATCAAATCATGAATTCCAATCTCTATCAATAGCATATTGAGGCAATCAGATACCGGCCGTGCATGAATTTTTGCACAAAAGCACTTCCCATAGCGACGTCTCCTTCCTGTGGCTTCCTTTCTTTTAATTCTTATTGTGTATAATCAGCACTAGTTTTTGTTTGAGCCATTTAAATAGCTAACTAACTAACAGAACACAGTTTTTATGGGATACGTCGTCGTGCTTTTAGAATAAACCAGTGATTGTATCCCATAAAAACTGTGTTCTGTTAATTTGTTCCCTGATCGCTAAATGGCACTTAAAGAATACATTTAAATAGCGACTTTGAATGTTTATAACATCGTAAATTATACAGCCGTTAAACTGGATAATCCCTCCCCAAACACCCCACAAAAATTCTGCTCTTTTCTCAGTTTTACTATTAATACCCCACGCAAATACCGTACTACAGACATTTGCATTGCTAACGTAATTTATTTACTTATTTATATATAATACAACAAATAAAAACAACAAGCGGCTGTCGGCATCGTTCCATCCTGGTAAATCATCTCTGATACATTTAATATCGTCCTGAAAAAACAAAAACAACAAGATGTCAACTTTTTTTTATAAGAAATACTGAACCCTATATGCTCTAAATATTGCAATATTGACACCCGCTTCTCTAACATTAACATACATCAGCGCTAATCTATCAATATATGTATTCTTCTTCAATAGATGAATAGTAATTGCTGGTATATGAATTATAAAAAAAGCCTTACCGCATATTTCTTCAACAAAGGCAAGGGCTTGTCTCCTGGCACCACGTCCAGCTCTGGCCAAGTTGAATCCGATTTCGTTGAGAGCATCAAGAAAACCGGGATCAGCATTTCCAGCATCAGCGAAGTAAACATCAACACCAGCTTCTCTGGCAGCTTGTGCATTTCTGATAACAGCTACTTGGTCAATTTTTCCACCAATGAATATAACAGCAACTTTACGAGCATTAGGACGTCCACCTTCGTGACGTTTATAGGCAGAGGTGAGGGAACCAATAAGTTTTGTAAGTCTCGGCTTATCATATCCTCTAAGTCTTTCTTCAACATCAGCAACGGTTCCATATTCTTTGAGGTTAAATCCAGCATCCAGTGGACATGATCCACTGATGACACCCACTCTCATATGCAGGAATTCCTGGGCACTGAGCGTGTGTGTGATGAACTGTGTTACCCAGTTAACTCGTTCCATACCGAGATAAGCAGGATCGAAGACATAGTAAATATCAGTGGGATTATCCATACCACATTCTGTAAATACACCAAAAAATTAGTAACAAAAGGCACAAAGCGCAAAATATATGAAGGCATTGACAACGCTGTAACTCACTGTGTGATAATATTACCAAAGAAGAGCATTACCAATATTTCAACATCTTATCGTCAAGATCCAAAAATAGGTTTCTTAATATAAGTAATATATTTGTACATATATTTAGCTAATATTGCAAGATCAGAACCCGCCGATACACTAACCTTCAGCTGCTGGGGTTGTTGGTGGTGGAGTTGTGGTGGTTGTGGGAGGAGGTGTAGTAGTTGGGATCTCTGTAATATAATACAAATAGATATATGTAGAGAACGACAAAATATACAAAAGAGGAAACATCGGTATTCAAGTAGGGAAGTGAATGGGGTTTAAGGTCTTATTCTGACTCGGCTACTGAAGACGGGAATACGCCATACTGAAGTGCTAGGGAAATTTTGCCCGGATAGTGGCGCTACGAACTACTCTTATATCGAATTCCAACTGTCAAGGGATATTTTACTTTCATGCCAATTTATACGGTTTTTCGTCCCATCTGAACGGCTAGACAACTGTAACACTGACAAGGGGAAACCACGCCGGAAATCACGATGAACTTTCTCGGCCAACAACTGGAGCGAACCCGCAACTTCCAGGCTACCGAGCCAGTGTCTTACTCACTGTGTAACCGTGGCTCCCTATTCAGGTAGGGAGTCATTGCAAGTTGAATGGTAATCGAAATTGTCCACAACCTCACCTATCTCATGAAGCACGCTTTTATTCTCAGAATTATCCGTTATAAGAACATCATGACAATGACAATACTTACTCTTACATGTCTTTCCAGACAATTTATCCTTGATGGCTTCCAACTCGGAGTAGGTTTCTACAATGATGACTCGGTCAGGATCACCAGCAATAGCTTCTAATTCTGATGCATTAACGGCCCTGCTTACACCAATAGCGAACATATCAATACCATCCTGGCGTGCTCGCTTGGCTTCAACAGCTGTCTTTTCGGAATCCTGAGATTTTCCGTCGGTAATAACAATACAGATCTTGGGAAGACCTGATCTAGCCCCAGGCATGATGTTCTCTCTCATATAGGCAATACCTAGACCTGGTGAAGGAACAAAATAATAAAGCTTATTTGTGAGAGGTATCTTGTATTTAAAGCAGATTCGATATTTTCGTTATATTTCGTAAATCAAATGATGATTACGAATACTATTTTGAACTCACCAGTTTCGGTTCTTGATCCATGATGCCATTTCAAACCAGCAATTCGCTTTTGCAGAGATTCACTTGTGAGAAAATCGTTGAAATTAATGACATCTTGAGTGTACACTACATCGGCATAGGTCTCAATAGCAACTCGTACTTTTCGTGGACCAATTTCATATGGGGCAATAAAGCTATTTACGAAAGCTATAGCTTTGGTGAAGTTCTGGGCCCAGATACTGGATGAAGCATCAAGGATGAAAACGATGTCCAATGGATGCTGATAACAGACTGAAATTAAAAAAGTAAGATGAAAATAATAAAACCTTATTTCCAAACCCAAATTATAAAATCAGTTTTGGAGCCCACGTCTTCACAGTATAAAATGGCACGGATCAC